GCGTGCATTTCTTGTTGCCCTGATTTAGGTTCTTTTTTGTCCTTAGTAGTGTATCTGTGAATAACGCCTTCGTACGCGTTATTCGAAGGTCGTGGGTTCGATTCCTGCTCACAGCTGGTAAATTTTCATCCACTTTTCTTTCTTCTTTCTTCTTATTTACATTCCATTGGTTATAATAACTTCCCCTGTACATTCCTTGGCATTACTGTCTGTTATATCTCATTTAATATTGTGTTAAACCACGGAAATACGAGCCCTTAGGTAAACACTTCTCTCCCTTATTATATATATATATATATATATATATATATATATATATATATATATATATATATATATATATATATATATATATATATATATATATATATATATATATATATATATATATATATATATATAGAGAGAGAGAGAGAGAGAGAGAGAGAGCGTGCGTCATTGTAAACGTTCCTGTGGCTAAAACCCAGTATGGTAGCGGCTAAGGAAAAAACCACCAGAAGTGATACATTTCCGCCCATCGGTTAAAAAAAAAAGGGAGATCCCACGTACAATGGGAATCGATTATATTCGAAGCACGAATGGGAAATGTTGATGTATTTATTTATTTATTTATTTGAATACTTTCCATGCCTGAAGGCTTTAGAGAAAGAAGTGGGGGTTACAACAAAAAGTAAGCGAAATGTTACAATTGCTGCAAAATGGAGAGTTTAAAGTTTGCAGGGTCGATGAGGGATGCGGTGGCAGCGGAAAGGCAGTTCCAGTCTTTGCTTGTTCTGGGAATGAAGGAATCACTGTAGTGGTTTGTTCGGCAAAATGGCACACCTACTTTAAAGCAATGATCGAAACGAGGTGAAATGTAAGAGGGGGAAGAGAGAAGGCTCTCTTTTAAAGATGGATTGTAATGGTAAATTTTATGAAAAAAATAAAGGCTTTAAAATTAGCACAACGTTACGAGGTGGAGGTAAATGAGGTTGTACATGATTTACGTATCATTATTATCATGTTTGAATGTGTCGTTTACCTTCGTCATCTATTCACGTCACGTGATACCAAATTTAGTATATGTGGAGCTAGCGAAACGGGCGTGAGCATGCTATGAGCGTGCTATGTTGTCATGTTCTTACATGACACGCATGTCAGGATTATCATGTTTGCACCGGTCATCTATTTCGTCATTCATTGACGTCACGTAACACTAAATTTGTTATATATGAAGCTAGCAAAACATCCGCGAGCGCATCATGAAGGGCCCAATATACTCCAATGTAGCGTTGACGTGCGCGCACGCTGGGCACAGCGACGCTACGTAAGGAAAACGCGAGCACATATAGTCTGACGCCAGGCGCGACCGGCGTCCTTAGGCGCGGCCTGACGGTAACCGGCGCGAAATGCGACATGCTACATTTCGCGCCGATGCCATAGAGTGACATTACTCTATGCCGATGCGTTACCCACACAAAACTGCGTCTCCCTCTTTTGGTGGTGGATCCGAGGCACGCCGGACGCGCAGAAACGCGCATGCATCAAAGCAACGCAGCGCACGCCTGCGAGTATATGGCAGGACCGGCACCTGGCGTGGCAACGCCGGCGTGACGCGACCAAAGGAACGCCGGCGAGCACGTGCACCACGTCACGTCGAAATGTATTGGCGTCTTGACTATGGCATGAAGTCATGTTCTCACATGACACGCATCTCATGATTATCATGTTTGCACCAGCCACATACCTTCTTCCTCCATTGGCGTAGCGTAATACCGAGTTTGGTACAGGTGAAGCTAGCGAAACGGCCGCGAGTGCATCATGAGCGTAGCATGTAGTCAAGTTGTTACATGACATGCATTTCGTGTTTATCTTGTTTGCACCAGTATCGCACCGTCGTCATTCATTCACGTCCCGTAATACCAAATTTGGTATAAGTGAATCTAGCTAAACGGCGGCCAGCGCATCACGAGCGTGACATGTAATCATGTTGTTACATGACACGCATCTAATGATTATCATGTTTGCACTAGTCACATACCTTCATCTATTCACGTACTGTAATACCAAACTTGGTATATGTGACGCTCGCGAAACAACCTCGAGCGCATCATGAGCATGGAACGTAGTCATGTTGTTACATGACACGCATGTCATAAGTTTCATGTTAGTGTCTGCCGCTTGTGTTCGCCATGCAATCATGTCGTACCATACCAGTTTTGCAACATGCCATGTGAACGAAACCACCGCAAGAGCTGCAGTACCATGAAATGTAAATCATGGCATTCAAGACATACGCGTCATGATTTTCATGTTACGACGAGCCAAATATGTTTTCATACAGTCATGTTATGCCATGCCAAGTTTGGTATCGATACCATTATCCAAACGGCCAGGAGAGCTAGAAGTCGTAGGCGGCTAGATAGATAGATAGATAAATAGATATATATATACATATATATATATATATATATATATATATATATATATATATATATATATATATATATATATATATATATATATATATATATATATATATATATAGATATATATATATAGATAGATAGATAGATAGACAGATAGATAGATAGATAGATAGATAGATAGATAGATAGATAGATAGATAGATACGCTCAAAGCCACCGAAGGCCGCTAAGAAATGCTTCGCATTTAAAAATACTAAATAAACGCGGTAGCACTTTGCCCTTGCTCTGCTTTGTTTCTTGCGTATATTTACTGGTCTTAACTTATCTTTCTCTTCCTCGACGCATAATCCTCGCGTGCTGACATTAAGGGCAACATTCTAACTGTGTTCATACTGAAGATGTTGAATATATGTGAACCATAAAGCCGAAACGTGCAAGAAGTCAGCATGTACTAATTGCGCGGGCTGACTAAGGAGATAGGATTCATCACTTCAATTCGATTCCATTTCATCATTCTATTCTTAATTTTATTCATTTGAACGACCTCTGTCTTAATCAAAGAAATTTGAATTTTAATTTCACAACTTCCCTTAAAAACTAGCTGGCTCTTAGCCAATTCCCAGTGTGGCTATTAGCCGCAGTTTCTAGGGTTTACTGTACTCTACTCTAGTAGAGACACCGGGTTGCTGGCTCACTATTTCATATAGAGAGATAGAGAAAAAAAAAGGAAATTAGAGAAGTAAAGATAGAAAGAGCTATAAAAACAAAAACAGAGAGAGAAGAAATAAACAAAGTAATTGAAAAAAAAAACGGCCACCTAGCTCCACGCTTTCTGCAGGTCTCAGCCCACACATTTCTCAGTTTGTGCGGGAACAGACTGCATCATTTTTCGCTGGTATGCTATGGTAGCGTAGCCTAGGATGGTTTTGAGGTGTTCAATCCCGCTTTCCTTTGTTTTTTTACACCAGCGTACCAGTTGTGTACGGGCATACGCGCACACACACCGGTGCACTCAGGAACATAAATAAAATAGGGTCTAACCCCGCCCCCCTCCCTCCATCTTTCACCTCGAAAACATTTTCTGGCCACGCACCGTTGTTTACGTAGTCACCTGATTCGGCTCAGTCATGCTGAATAATTGAATGTACCCCCTAATGTAATATTTGCTACACTTTGATCTTAGCCAAAAGGTCGAGCGATCAATCAAAAGAAATATCTGAGGCAGGTAACGGCTTTCCTCTTGATGATGATGACCAAAAAAGCATGGCTCACACCCACTCTAGGTGACTGGCCAAGAAATGAGTAATTAAGCAGAGGGAATCACATATTACTCATAAATGCAATAAATTGTAAGATGTTTAGAGTAAAATATATTTTCTTATTTCTCTTCTGACCAGCACTTCTTCATCGTCCACCTTTTTTCGTCGAATACCGTTCTAGTAGCGCATCCAATACCAACGTGCTATTCCAACTAGCCCGAGAAACAGCACTCTTGATGTCTGAATGCCTCAACTACTCAGCTTTACTTGGTTACACACCACAAAAAAAAAAAAATAACTGTAAAATGTGCCAGACTGTATGCCATTACAGAGTTCTTACGACGGTCGTACCCTCAATGATAATTAAGAAGATTGGTCTCTAGATGATTCTGGTAACGTTTAAAAGTCCGCAAACGTTTCACAGGTCAAGAAGGCGAAAACAGCACTTTTCCCAGGTCCCAGAAATGAGTAATTTTCCCAGAAATGAGTAATTAAGCAGAGGGAATCACATATTACTCATAAATGCAATAAATTGTAAGATGTTTAGAGTAAAATATATTTTCTTATTTCTCTTCTGACCAGCACTTCTTCATCGTCCACCTTTTTTCGTCGAATACCGTTCTAGTAGCGCATCCAATACCAACGTGCTATTCCAACTAGCCCGAGAAACAGCACTCTTGATGTCTGAATGCCTCAACTACTCAGCTTTACTTGGTTACACACCACAAAAAAAAAAAAATAACTGTAAAATGTGCCAGACTGTATGCCATTACAGAGTTCTTACGACGGTCGTACCCTCAATGATAATTAAGAAGATTGGTCTCTAGATGATTCTGGTAACGTTTAAAAGTCCGCAAACGTTTCACAGGTCAAGAAGGCGAAAACAGCACTTTTCCCAGGTCCCTCTTTTTATACATAAAATGTTCGCACGTTTTCATACCGTCATCTTTTCATAATCTTTTCCTCTTTAAACTGCAGCCCTTCATCACTAGAGAAAGAAAAAAAATAGCAATGCATAGTCTTTCACGACTACCGACAGATGGCGCCAGCTTTCTAACTCGCTCGTTCTTCGCGCGCCGGCCACGTGACCCAGTGCCGCAGGAGAACCGTTTGGCGTGCTCCCGTGTTGGACTGCTGTCGAGCGTCGAGAGTGAAAAGCGGTTCGACCGCGCTACGAGTGAGATGGACGGGGCGGTGCTCTAGCGGCGTGTCGGCGCGCGTACTACACAACACGGCAGCTTTCGCCTCGACGTTGGCGCGACCACCGGCGCGAAGACTTCCCAAGAGGCGGGGGCGACTTACGGTGGTGCGAGTGGTGTTGTGACGTGCGCGCGTGCAGTGAGTGCTTGTCGTAGTTCGTTTCAAACAGAGGCGGCCAGCCGGCCGAGGTGGACTTAGAGAAGTCGTCATGTCTTCGGCGGCTTACGAGCTCGGAGCCGTGCGGCTCGAGATCAGGCCGCTGAGGCCTTTCAAGTCTAGCGAGGAGTACTTGTGGGCCATGAAGGAAGACTTGGCCGAGTGGATGAACACGCTGTACGGCCTCAAGCTGACGCCCGAGACGTTCCTGGAGTCTCTGGACGACGGCGTGACGTTGTGCCGTCACGCGAACAAGGTTCTCGAGGCGGCTCGACGCGAAGGCCGGCTGGCCGCGCTCAAGCTGCCCGACCGGGACGTGGTGTACCGCCCCGACGTCCAGCGCGGCACCTTCCAGGCTCGCGACAACGTCTCCAACTTCATCGCCTTCTGTCGCGCGCTCGACATCAAGGAGTGCCTGCTGTTCGAGACCGAGGACCTGGTGATGCGCAAGAACGAGCGCAGCTTCATACTGTGCCTTCTCGAAGTGGCTCGCCGTGGAGCCCGTCTGGGCATGCTGGCGCCGCTGCTCGTGCAGTTCGAGCAGGAGATCGACGCCGAGCTCGAGCACGAGTGCGACTCGGACGAAGAGCCGCCCCCGCCGAGGCCGCAGATCATCACCAACGACTTGCGATCGCTTCACGAAAGGGTGAGTGTGGGCGATTCTGCTCTTTTCGTGCGGTTGTGTGACTGCATGCGTGGTCCTATTGATGACTACGTCAGCCGTTTGGAAAAAGTGCTGGATGGTTTCCGTTCCAAAAAAAAAAAAAAAGAGGTAAAGTAGTAGTAAAGGCTTTGTGGAAAAGAAAGAATGCAAAGGCCGCGCGGAAAGTTGTTCGTACCCCTGGCCCTGATTGTGGTCATGAAGATTGCTTGCTGGGGGATTGGGGGGGGGGGGGGGGGAGTCGTATTCCATTTTGTAAACGTTACAGCTCAAACAGGCGGATGCAAGCGCTGTGTCTTGTGCTTACTTCATTTTCCTCGGCTGCGTTCGCTCTAAGGTTTACACAGTGTCTTCCGATCGCACTTACGTTTGCAGGCTGACGTGCCCGTGGTGACATTATTACCGCGCGAATTGCCGCTGGTTGTGGTTGAGGAGTTTCGACAGCCCACCCCTCGATCGACGAAAATGTTTACACTTCGTTTGTGTATATAGATGCGTACGCACACGGCCGTAAAGCCGAGTCGTGTCTCCCGCCACCTCTATTACCAAACTACTCAAATCCGTTGTGTGCGATTTTTCAGCTTGTTCGATTTAGGCGATAGAAACGACAGTAAGCTCAACGAAGGCACCGTGTTTAAGAGAGAGATATCTGGAGACTTAGGTATTGATATTCGTCTGACAATTAATTGCTCGTAAAGGGCGCTGTCACGAGTCCATGTCAGCGTTTCATTTGGGCTCGCGCGTTTCCATGGATAGACGCAGTAAATGCGGAAAGAACGAACATCGCGATATTCTACACGAGGACCCAAAGTAAAGACACAGACAAGTATTGCGTGTTTCCTCTTGCGTCTCCTTAGTAAAGTGAAGCTTCGGGCTAGTTAGTTTGGCATTATGAATTCTATAGTTCTATGTCCCCGTGTAGAACATCGAGCTTCATGAGATGCAAAAGCAGCTAGGCCAAAACTTCACTTTGTTATCGGAAGCGATAAACGCCTCGGGGAAAACCCGAAGTCTTCAGCCTGGAAACTTGCGGCTCAAACGATAGGCGCGTTTGAAGATTGTTGAAAGCCTCTCGTGTTGACACATGAAATGCCCGAGAATGACAAGCTACGCTTTGCCGATTTAAGACTGTTTATTTAGCACACACCACGTGGTGTTATGAACCACGTGCGCAGAAACCTTTACTTCCTTTTTGTTCCGCTCACAGCAAGTTAGTTGAGGCATAGCACGAACCTCTTAAATATGCCGTAAATCGGTCGTGCGTTCCCAACATCTCTGCGAACTTTGTCAAGATAAATGAAGCAAGGCTATCATTGCTTGGAGCTACGCTTTGTGGTTGACAGCGTCGGCATTCCCACTACGAGAAGCTCCAAGCTCGTGTTGACGTCTAAAGGCGCGATGCGGTGTTTGCAAACAGGGAAGTGGTTTCACTGTACACACGCCCTTGAATTACAAGGCTTGCTGGCGCATCTTTGCTTATCCACCGGTGTCTGCGCACATTTTCAAGGAAGTCACGAGAATGGCCGTAAGCGGTATCGTCACTGTTTGTATGTATGAATGTGCTTTCGCCTGGTCGATGGCGGCTTGCGTCCGGATAAGAAATGGAGCGTTCTGTTGCGTTGCGCGCTCCGTACGCGCAGGAACAGGCTCATTTACGCACGCTCTTAGTGAAAATACCGATTTTGGGACATTCACGCTCGCCTACTTCCTGGTAAATTATACGCGTGTCGCGCGTGTTCGTTGTCATGTATTCGGTATGATATGGCAAGCGTTTTCATTACTTTTCGGGGTCGCGAGTCCAATCAACGTTCCGTTTGGGCGAACGCGTTCCCATGGAAGCAGGCAGAAAGTGCGCCCGCTCCATCGGCGATAAAGGATCGAGGTCTCGCACGTTTACAAGAGCTAGAACGCTGCTTATGAGGACTACGATTTATATGATTAGTCGTAAACGAAATGTATAGGTACACGTTGCACCAGGATTAGGTATCATCAGCACGATTCGGTGTGGTTGCGGTGTTCAGCTGCTCACCCCAATGGTCGCGGCGCTCGAATTTCGGTGGAGCCAAAAATGCTATAGACGGACGTTAAAGAAAACCAGATTGTAAATGTTTCAGGGGCCCTCCACTACGGCTGGACTCGTAATTATATCGGGGTCTTGGCACTTATTGTTATTACGATTAGTTATCACGTGGCCAGTCCTGTATTGTCTTGCCTTCTGTAGCCTCCTTGTATTCGTCTGTACTCGTGTGTACCGCCACGGGCTCAATCAGCGCTATTCCTGGTTCTTGGCATTAGGTTCTATGTTTTTTTTAAGCCAGGAATTGAAGAAGCTGACAAAGGACTAGGAAAACATGAAAACGAAAAGGCTCTTGCCAAATGAGTAGCTTGAACGCTTTTTTAGGGGGGGGGGGGGGTTCAACTAATCTTCATGTACGTTCATGCTGGTGTTTGTGCGTGTGTATACGTATATATATGCAACATTTTAAAATTACAAAGGGCAAGAAGGCGGTTCTGCGCCGCACCTCTATAGTCTACGCTAATGGCTTGTCACATCTTACAAAATGTTTTCGTTCAAAGCCACGTGTGAAGGGGTTCATCACGCGACATGCCCGTTCTTTTTTTTTTTTTCGGTTCTCGCGCACAGCTGGCCAGCAATCTGTGCTACGTAGTCCCATATGCGTACAAGTTCGTCCTCGCTACCAGCCTTGATCCACATATCCGAGGTTAATGTTACGCTGTAGGGCACTCAATTTCGTCACGCCGCTCGTGCCGACTCGGGATGTTCCATATGCAAATTCTTCTTTATATTTTTGTCTTTTCGATATGATCCGCGGCAGCTTTCGCTCGCGAAAGCGGGTCTCTTTTTTCTGCGTGCACGCCGACGATGACGAAAGACGGCAACCGGTTGTGACTGTGCGTGTCGTCGCGCTTTGCACGTTTCGTCGGGACGACCTTGCCTTCCCCCACCCCGCCCTTAGGGTGGCGCTGCAATCGGCGAGTGTGCCAGTAAACAAAAATGAAATGGGATGTTGACTTTTGTCGCTTTTCGATGCGCAGTGCTTAGCGCGGGCTTCTCAACCTAACCTCAGCCAGTCACGAAACGTAGTTTCCCGTAAGGGTCGGGGGTGTGAAGAAAATTGAGTGGTTTGGGGGTGGGGAGGGGGTCGAACAAAATCATCCCGACTTACGTTGCCATATTGAAGGAAATGCCTCTCTCTTTTGCGATATGTGTGCCATTCCTGAAGGGAATTCGACGTAGGGTCGAACAAAATCATCCTTTGAGTAAATATAAAAATGTTTATTTATTGTTTTATTTGGTGCTAAGCGCTATTTTTAGGGTTTTTAAACAAAAATCTCTAGAGTACGTTTTCATTTTTTCATGCCTTTGTTGATGCTTGGTGCAATAAATAATAAAAGATAAATAAAAAAAGACGAGCGCACACCTTGGGATTACGCAGTTTAGATTGTGGTGTGTATCACTTTTGTATTTTGCCATTTCTCACTTTTGTCATTGTGGTGGCAGTCAATTTTGATTTGATTTGTTTTCGGTCGGCTTTGTTTGCGGCGTATTTGGTTTTGTGCGCATCGTGGAAGCGCAGCATAGCATGCGTATATATTGGCTTAAAAAAAAAACGACAATAAACAGTTGGTAGTCTGCGCTCTTTCCTGTCTTCCTTAGTTTTTTTCTCCAAGTTTGTGCAGCAATTCAATTTTTCAAAGTCATCCCGACTTATGTTGCCATATTGAAGGAAAAGCCTTTCTCTCTTGCGATGTGTGTACCATTTCTGAAGGGGATTCGGCGTTACGATTAGAGGAACGTGTCTGTCCTGATCTCCAGATTGACTCTCAAATCTAGACGACGATTCTGAAAATATAGAGCTTTCGTTCCACGGTTACGTTTCCAAAATGCTAGAAGCTACATGGGCCAGTCACATCAGCGTAGCTGGTAAACACGCCAATTAAGATAAAATGATCGGATGAAGACACGTCTGGGCCGGGCGGTTAGATAAATGTCCACGTGTCGCATGTTTGAAACCCCTGGATTAGCGAGACGCCATAGGGCTCCAAAAAAAAAAAAAAAAGATAGAAAGAGATGCGGTACATTGAGGCGGAAAGAAGTGAAAAAGTCGTGCGAAAACGAAGATGAGCGAGAGATCGACCCATCGGTTTTGTAGAGATGCGCCGGCTTGTCGCTTCTTTTCTCCATCATTCTTGTTATTCTTAAAACGATATCTAAGCCCGTGCACTTCGTGTTCTGCATAATTCACCTCAAGGTGTAAGCGGAGATCCGTCTTTTACGGCCTTGCTACATGACCTGAAAGCTCAGGCAAGCGTGCTGGTTTAGAAGAGCGAACTAAAAACAACAAAAAAAAATATTCGAGAAGCAGCAGTGAAAACATAGACACGGGGGAATGAGCCTTACTTTATTGCACAATGCTTATCTCTGAGTCATGACTTTACGTTCTTGCTTTTTTTTTTCAACAAAAGGAGGTGAAACGTAGGGACTGGTTTTAATTTGGAAATGTTTCACTTTTAGTAATTAGTATTCCGGTGCTGATTAACGACTGAGTCTTAAAAACGCCAATGCCCGCGGAGAACTGGTCTCTTTTTCTCATCGATAGACATCTGTATATACGCTGGATTTTGCGTTTTTTCGCTTCAATTTTCCAAACGCTGCAAGTCTACCCCTCCGGAATCCCAATTCCACGCAAACCGGCTGAAGTATATCGAAAATGCATTGCTTGCGCTGGGGTTATCAGTGTCGTAGTAGGTGCGGCGACGTTATAAAAACGGGGCGAGGCCACTGGCCCCTTCGGGTATTGCAGGCATAATTTCGATCGAGTCTCTGTTCGCGGTGTTGTACGTGATCATGGAACTGGCCGCGTATAAGATGGTGGGTGGGAGATCGAAATACCTCATAGAGAGCCGAGTCTTAAAAAAGAGATAGAAGAAAGCCGGTCCTGTCCTTTTTAAACTGCAGTAGC